ACCTTTTATAATAATTATAATAACAATATAATAATATAATATAATATATAAGCTTAATAAATAATAAACAATCACACCCAAACTTCTTCTTCTTCTTCTTCTCCTCCTTCTTCTTCTTCTTCTTATTATTATTAAGTTTGGGGGTGATTGTTATAATAATAAATAATAATAATAAATATATAATATATATAAAAATATATTTACACAGACTGGGCCACAGCAACGCATGGCAGGGGACAGCTAATATAATATAATATAATATAATATAATATAATATAATATAATATAATATAATATAATATAATATCTTAATAAATAATAAACAATCACCCCAAACCTTTTATTATAATAATAATAATAATAATAATATATAATATAATAATATAATATAATATAATATAATAGCTTAATAAATAATAAACAATCACCCCAAACCTTTTATAATAATAATAATAATATATAATATAATAATATAATATAATATAATAGCTTAATAAATAATAAACAATCACCCCAAACCTTTTATTATAATAATAATAATAATAATAATAATATATAATATAATATAATATAATATAATATAATAGCTTAATAAATAATAAACAATCACCCCCAAACCTTTTATTATTATAATAATATATAATAATATAATATAAATATAACGTAATATAAATATAATATAATATAATATAAATATAATATTAATATAATATAATATAATATATACACACACACATACACAGACTGGGCCACAGCAACACATGGCAGGGACAGCTAGTACAATATATATATATATATATATATATATATATATATATATATATATATATATATAAATATAATAATTAAAAATATTTTATTAAATTTCTTAACCATATTAACACACATTAAAAACCTGTATTGTCGAAGGCTTTCATGGCTGGAATCACTCAGTTCTTGTGGGTTTTTTTGCTATATGGCCATGTTCTAGAGGCATTCTCTCCTGACGTTTCGCCTGCATCTATGGCAAGCATCCTCAGAGGTCTGAGGAAACCTGCTTTATCTCTTTTTTTAAAAAAAGGAGCCTTTTTATCTAAGAATGAATGGAATATTCCATTCAAAACCTTTAAAAACAAACTTGGAAAATAAACCCGATTAAACTCCCTTTCAAAAAGAATGACGGCCTTTACCTGTCGTAGTTCCGCTTGAGCCGCTTGACCACTTCGGCGCTTTCCCGCTTGGAGACAAAGGCTGCGGAAGGGGGGGGGGGGAAGTAAACAAGTAAACAAATACATCTAAATACATCGACATCCGTGTGTCTCAACCTGATTCCGAATCCCGCGACCCCGGAATCCAGTCCCTCGTGTTCGTGGTGACCCCCAAACAGAACGTTGTGTTCATTGCTCCTGATATGAAGCGTAATGTAAATATCTGAGATGCAGGGTGTATTTCCATTCACTAGACCAAATCTGGCACAAATACCCAAATTTGAAAACTGGTGGGGTTGGGTGGAGTTGATTTTGTTATTTGGGAGTTGTAGTTCGCTGGGATTTATAGTTCACCTACAACCAAAGAGCATTCTGAACTCCACCAATGATGGAATTGAACCAAACTTGGCAGATAGGACTCCCATGACCAACGGAAAACACTAGAAGGGTTTGGTGGGCATTGTCCTTGAGTTTGGGAGTTGTAGTTCACCTACATCCAGAGAGTATGATGGACTCAAACAATGATGGATCTGGACCAAACTTGGTATGGATACTCAATATGCCCAAAAGTGAACACTGGTGGAGTTTGGGGGAAACAGACCTTGACATTTGGGAGTTGTAGTTGCTGGGATTTATAGTTCACCTACAATCAGAGAGCACCCTGAACTCCGCTAAAGATGGAATTGAACCAAACCTGATCACACAGAACTCCCACGACCAACAAAAAATACTGGAAGGGTTTCGTAGGCATTGAACTTGAGTTTGGGAGTTGTAGTTCACCTACATCAAGACGCAAACAATGATGGATCTGGACCAAACTTGGCACAGATACTAAACATGGCAAAATGTGAACACAGATGGAGTTTGGGGTAAATAGATCTTGACGTTTGGGAGTTGTATTTGCTGGGATTTATAGTTCACCTACAATCAAAGAGCATTCTGAATGCCACCAATGATGGGATTGAACTCCCATGACCAACAAGAAAATACTGGAAGGGTTTGGTGTGCAGTGTCCTTTGGTTTGGGAGTTGTAGTTTACCTACATCCAGAGAGCACTGTGGACTCAAACAATGATTGATCTGGCCCAAACTTGGTGCGGATACTCATTATGCCCAAAAGTGAACAAAGTGTTTGGTGGGCATTGAACTTGAGTTTGGGAGTTGTAGTTCACCTACATCAAGACTCAAACAATGATAGATCTGGACCAAACTTGGCACGGATACTAAACATGCCCAAATATGAACACAGATGGAGTTTGGGGAAAATAGACCTTGACATTTGGGAGTTGTAGTTGCTGGGATTTATAGTTCACCTACAACCAAAGAGCATTCTGAACTCCACCAATGATGGAATTGTTCAATTTTGGCACACAGAACTCCAATGACAAACAGAGAATACTGGAAGGGTTTCGTGTTCATTGAACTTGAGTTTGTGAGTTGTAGTTCACCTACATCCAGAGAGCCCTATCGACTCAAACAATGATGGATCTGGACCAAACTTGGCATGTATACTCAATATGCCCAAATCTGAACACAGATGGAGTTTGGGGGAAATAGACCTTGACATTTGGGAGTTGTAGTTGCTGGGATTTATAGTTCACCTACAATCAAAGAGCATGCTGAACCCCACCGATGATAGAATTGGGCCAAACTTCCCACACAGAACTCCCACAAACAACAGAAAACTCTGATAGAGTTTGGTGGGCATTGAACTTGAGTTTGGGAGTTGTAGTTCACCTACATCTAGAGAGCACTGTGGACTCAAACAATGATGGATCTGGACCAAACTTGGCATGAATACTCCATAGGCGCAAATGTGAACATTGGTGGAGTTTGGGGAAAATAGACCTTGATATTTGGGAGTTGTAGTTGCTGGGATTTATAGTTCACCTACAATCAAAGACATTCTGCACCCCACCAATGATGGAATTGAACCAACTTTGGCACACAGAGCCCCCATGACCAACAGAAAACTCTGATAGAGTTTGGAGGGCATTGAACTTGAGTTTGAGAGTTGTAGTTCACCTACATCCAGAGAGCACTGTGGACTCAAACAATGAGGGATGTGGACCAAACTTGGCACGGATACTCAAAATGCCCAAATGTGAACATTGGTGGAGTTTGGGGGAAATAGACCTTGGCATTTGGGAGTTGTAGTTGCTGGGATTTATAGTTCACCTACAATCGACGAGCATTCTGAACTCCACCAACGATAGAATAGGACCAAACTTTCCACACAGAACTCTACCAATGATGGAATTGGGCCAAACTTCTGATGGTCTTTGGAGACCCCTCTGACACCCCTTTGCAACCCCCCCCCCCCTCAATTTGTCATCAGACCAAAGTCTGAACTCACCTTCAGAGTCGGGAGAGTTGTCGGCAGCATCGGATTGAGCCTCTGGAAACAAAAGAAAAGCAATAGAGTATCATGAGCTACATAATAATAATAATAATAATAATAATAATAATAATAATAAAAGGGGTTCCCCAAAGGCCATATAGTCCAACATAGAAACATGGTGATTTTGTCAGCACCGATTGTGTTTAAGTGCGGGCCAAGGTCTTGAGGCGCTGCACCCAGTGTGCCGATCACCACTGGGACCCCCTTGATTGGCTTGTGCCAGAGTCTTTGCCATTCAATCTATTATAATTATTAATTATTTCTATTATTATTATAGAAATATTATAATATTATAATAGATTGCTATTAAATCTATTTTTATTTTTTTTTATTATCATTATTATTATTTCTATCCCGCCCATATCGCCTTTGAGCAGATATGGGTGGGATAAAAATAGCGTAAATAAATAAATAAAATAATAAATTATTATTATTGTTCCTGGGGACCAGGGTAAAGTAAGAGATGGTGATGATGATGATGATAATAATAATATATTGTAATAAGTAGATAAACCACTGGAACCCCCTTGATTGGCTTGTGCCAGAGTCTTTGCAATTTGATCTATTATTATTATTATTATTATTACTACTACTACTACTACTGGGGACAAGGGTAAGGTAAGAGATGATGTGGGCGGGATAGAAATAGCGTAAATAAATAAATAAAATACATTATTATTATTATTCCTGGGGACCAGGGTAAAGTGAGAGATGGTGATGATAATAATAATAATAATAATATATTGTAATAAATAGAAATCTCTTTTTCTAGGGGAAGGGTCAGTCTTTGCCATTCAATCTATTATTATTACTATTATTATTATTATTATTATTATTATTACTACTGGGGACAAGGGTAAAGTAAGAAACGATGTGGGCGGGATAGAAATAGCGTAAATAAAATAAAATAAAATAAAATAAAATGTTATTATTATTATTATTATTATTATTATTGTCTCTGGGGACCAGGGTAAAGTAAGAGACGGTGATGATGATGATGATAATAATAATAATAATAATATATTGTAAAATATAGATAAATATCTCTTTGGTTTGTTGTAGGTTTTTCTGGCTATATGGCCATGTTCTAGAGGCATTCTCTCCTGACATTTCGCCTGCATCTATGGCAAGCATCCTCAGAGGTAGTGAGGTCTGTTGGAACTAGGAAAAGGGTTTATATATCTGTGGAATGACCATGGTGGGACAAAGGACTCTTGTCTGCTGGAGCTAGGTGGGAATGTTTCAACTGACCACCTTGATTAGCATTTGATGGCCTGGCAGTGCCTGGAGCAATCTTTTGTTGAGAGGAGATTAGATGTACCTGATTGGGTTGTTGTAGGTTTTTTCGGGCTATGTGGCCATGGTCTAGAGGCATTCTCTCCTGACGTTTCACCTCCATCTATGGCAAGCATCCTCAGAGGCATCCTCTTTTTTTGTAGGGGAAAGGGTTCTTACCTGTGAGGGCGAGTGCAGCCAAGGCCAGGAGGGCCCAAAGGGCGAGGGTCTTCATGGTGAGTGGGGGGTCTTCCCTTCTTCTTCTCCTCTCTTCTCTCTTCTTCTTTCTTCTCCTCCTTCTCTGCTCCGATCCCTTTCTTGGAACTCCCTTTATACTCCTCTGGACGGAGACAGCAACCCAAAGTGGAGGCCAGAGGCTATTTTGGGGCCCGTAATCGGAGGAGGAAGAGGAACCGGCAATTGTGGGGCTTGGATGCAACAGACCCCCAATCATGGCTTAGCCGGGATATCCGGGACGGAAAGGCCGACCTCCTCCCAATCAAGGGTTTGGAGGCCCAAAGGCTGGGATCCGACTCAATAGGAAGCCAACGGGCTCTCTGCCTGCAGTCGGAAGCCACCCTTGCTGGGCTCCCAGAAGCAAGGCCACCTGGCCCCTCCTTCCAGGTGTTTTGGACTCCAACTCCCACCATTCCTAGCCTCAGGCCCTTTCCTTTCCCCCCGTGTGTTCGTTTTGGAGGCAAGGCTAAGTACTTTGGCCAGCAGCAATTGGAATTGCTGAAGCTCATTCACCCTAGAACAGGTATGGGCCAACTTGGGCCCTCCCTCCTGCCAGGTGTTTTGGACTCCAACTCCCACCATTCCTCACAGGCTTAAGCCCTCTCCCCCCCCCCCCCGCTTTTGTGTGCCAGCTGCGCCCGTACCTTGGGAAGTCTGACTTGGCCACAGTAGTCCACGCTCTGGTTACATCCCGTCTAGACTACTGCAACGCGCTCTACGTGGGGTTGCCTTTGAAGACGGCCCGGAAGCTCTAAATGGTCCAGGAACCCTCCAGGAACTTAAGATTGTCCGAGGAGGTCCAGCTCTTGATCCCACCTGCTTCGCAAGCACGCCTGGCGGGGACGAGAGACAGGGCCTTCTCTGTGGTGGCCCCTCGGGTGTGGAACTCCCTCCCTTTTGCTTTATTAATTTATGTATTTTGTCTTGGCATCGAATTGTGCCGACTGTGTATACCGCCCTGAGTCGCCTTCAGACTGAAATGGGCGGGATAGAAATAATGCAAATAAATAGATAAATAAATAAATAAATAGGTAATTCAGCCAGCAGCATCTGGGATTGCTGAAGCTCATTCACCCCACTGCTGGGACTAGAACAGGGATGGACACATTTGGGCCCTCCCTCCCTCCCTCCTTCCAAGTGTTTTGGACTCCAACTCCCAGCATTCCTCACAGCCTCAGGCCCCCTTTCCCCCTCAGTCGCTTAAGCTGAAAGGAGGGAAGGAAGGGGAAGGAAGGAAGAAAAGCAGGAAGGAAGGAAGAGAAAGAAAAAGGAAGGAAGGGAGGGAGGAAGGAAAAGAAAAACAAGCAGGTAGAGAGGGAGGGAAGGAAGAAAGAAAGAAAGAAAAGAAAGAAGGAAGGAAGAAAGGAAAGGGGAGAAAGAGAGGAAGGAAAGGAAGGAAGAAACAGATGAGAGAAGGAAGAAAAAGGAAAGAAAAAAAGAAAAGGAAGGAAGGAAAAGGGAGAAAGAAAGGGAAGGAAGGAAAAAAGAATGAAAGAAGGAAGGAAAGGGGAAAAGATAGCAGGAAGGGAGGAGGAGAAAGAAAGAGGAGAAAGAGAAGAAGAACACAAGACAGGCACCCAGAAATGACAGACAAGAACGACAAGCACGCCAGACCAGAATTACATCCACGTCACGGTGCTGCTCACTCGCAAGGTAACTACGCCATAACCAGTACATCAAGAAAGCCCGACACCGACAAGCAAGCACTCCATACCGGAAAGTCAAGAGACGTGACTGTCAAGGCACAAGTGGAGCCCGCACGTGACGGCACTGGGCACGCACCTGAAAGAAGGAAGAAGATGGAAAGGAGAAGGAGGGAGGAAAGAAAGAAAGGGATAAAAAGAATAAGAAAAGGAAGTACGTGGTTACGGGGTAACTGCAGGAAGGAAGAATTGACGGAAGGCAGTGCAGGAAGAAAAAGATGACACAAGAATAAACAGAACAAAAAAAGATTTGCTAAGAAGGGAGGGACTAAATAAATAAAAGACAAGAAAAAGAAAAGGAAGGAGAAAGAGGGAAGGAAGGAAAGAAAAGGGAAGGAAGGAGAAGGAAGGAGAGAGAGGAAGAAGGAAGAAAAGAAGGATGGAGGAAGGAATTAATCACAGGGTACAAAAATAAAGGGACGGGCATGAAAAGTAAAGGACGGAAAGGGCAGAGACAGAGAGCAGTAACGCTGGGACTGGAGAAAGAAAAAAGGGAAGGAGAAAGAGAAGGAAGGAGGGGAAAAAAGAAAGAAGGAAGAAAAAGGAAAATAACAAATAGCAGGATGAGAAAAAGGGGAGGGCAGGGGGAAGGGGGGAATGGAGGGAGAGAGGAAAAAAGAAAAAGAAGAAAGAAAGAGAAAGAAAGAAGAAAGAAGGGAAAGGAAAGAGAAAGAAGGGAAGGGAAGAGGAAGAGGAGGAAGGAAGAAGGAAGGAAGGGAGAGGAAGGAAGGAGAAGGAAGGAAGGAAGGAAAGACGAGGAGGGATGGACAACTACCGTCAGGAAAGTTGAAATTATCGCATGCAGGTCAGCAGTGCCATCCCCGAGCGCGATCAGAGAGAGAAATACATCAGCACCCTCCCAACAGAAAGAAAGAAAATAAAGAAGGACGGTTTAGAGAAAGAAGGGAAGTAAGGGAAATGAATGAAGGAGAGAAAGAGTTGAAAGGTATAGCATGACAGTGAGGGAAAAAAGCAAAGGAGACAGAGAAGGGGGAAGGGGGAATAATTGTACTACTGTAATATATTTTACAGTGAACGGACTAGCGCGGAGCGCATAAGTTAGGCGGTCAGGAAACCATTGACATGTGGCAGAGAAAGGAAGGAAGGAAAGAAGAAGGGAAAGAGAAGAGGAAGGAAGGAAAGGAAGGAGGGGGGAATGAAGGGGAGGGAAGGAAATGAAGAAAGGGAAAGAAGGAGGAAAGGGAGGCAGGGAGGAAGGAAGAAGGAAAGGAAGAAGGGAAGGAAGGAAGGAAGGAAGAAAAGGAAGGAGAAGGAAAGAAAAAGAAAAGAAAGGAAGGAAGGAAAGAAGGAAAGGGAGAGAGGGAGAAAGGAAGGAGGAGAAGGATATCAGGACGGGAGGAAAGAAAGGGGAGAAAGAGAAGGAAGGAAGGAAGAAAAAGGAAAAAAGATTGCAGGATTGGAGGAGGGAGGGAGGAAAGAAAGAAAGGGAAGGAAGGAAAGGATGAAAGAAGGAAAGGGGGAAATATAGCAGGAAGAGAGGAAGGAAGGAAGGAAAAGGGGAAAAAGAAAGGGAAGGATGAAAGAAGGAAGGAAAGGGAGAAGGAGAGCAGGAGGAGAGGAAGGGAGGGAGGAAAGAAAGAAGGAAGGAAAGGAGGGAAAGAAAGGCAAGTAAGAAAGGATGGAGGCAAAATAGGGCCCTTTTAAGCCTCTGATTCCCCCCCCCCCCCCATATGTTGTCGTTGTGGAAACAACCCTCGTTTAAGACAATGGGGCAGGGACTTTTTTCCTGATGGGAACTTGGAAGGAAAGCGGTCTCCTCCCTGCTGGCTCCGAAACCCTGGCATTTTGGCCGGAAGAAGCCGGGGAGGGCCGGCCAGGCCGAGGGGTCACTTGGCAGCCGGACCCGCCTTTGGGAAGCCACGAGAGGGGCCTGGCCGGCCAAAGCGGATCCTTCTCGGAGGCCAACGACAACGTTGGCTTGGCCGCCTCTAATTGGGAGCAGATGCCCAGGAAGAAGCCGCAGAGCCAGCACGGCCAACTTGGGAATCGTTCATCTCGGGTCTGGGAGTTGTAGTTCACCCGGAGCCCAGCCCGCAACAAATCTGGACCAGACTTCCGTGACATCCCCTCACAGCCCAAAACAAGCCAGGCCTTCTCCTCGTATCAACTATTTCCGACGCCAAGCAGAACCAAAAACCCACTTTATTTACACGCCAATCATCCACAGAGACAGACCCCACAGGAAGTCCCGCCCTCTTCCTTGCAGAGGAAACATGCTTGGAGGGGGAGGACTTCCTGTCCAAGAAAGCCGAGATCCGTGGTGCTCAAGGGACCTCCTCCAACGCGTTCACCCGCTCTCGGCCTTCCGCTGCAATGGCCTGAAAGGAAGGAAGGGAGATGGAAGGCCATCCAGACCAACCCCATACTGTCCACCATCCGATCCCTCCCGACAGATGGCCATCCAGCCTCCTAGACATTATATAGAGACATAAGCCTGTAGTGTCGTGCCGTCCTAGAATGGGACCCCCCAAGGGCCATCCAGTCCAACCTTACTCTACCCTAATGGAAGGCACCATCTGATCCCTCCCGACAGATGGCCATCCAGCCTCCTAGACGTTATATAGAGACGTAAGCCTGTAGTGTCATACCGTCCTAGAATGGGAAGGGACCCCCAAAGGCCATCCAGTCCAACCTTATTTTGCCCTAAAGGAAGCACACTATCCGATCCCTCCTGACAGATGGCCACCCAGGCTCTGCTTAATAATACCCACAGAAGCCCCTCTTTGTGCTCACCTTCCAGTGTTCGCGGTGTCGCTGGGCCTCCTCCTCCAGCCGGTGGATCTCCTGGCGCCCTTGGGTCACGGCTTGGGCCAGGCGGGCGCTGCGGGCCTCGGCCTTCTCCAGGGAGGCCTGCAGGAAGCGCCGCTGCACCACCAAGCAGGGGGACAACAACGCAGGGAGGTCCGCCTCCGGGGTCCCAGACGGGCGCCTGCAGAGAGAGAGAGAGAGAGAGAGAGAGAGAGAGACATCAGGAATGACAGATAGGCAAGGTGGGTGGACACGGTGGCCTTTGGGGTCCCTTCCAACTCTAAGGCTGGGTGATTCCATTACTACTGTTAGGATTATTAAGTAGAGGCTGGGTGGCCATCTGTCGGGAGGGATCAGATGGTGTCTTCCTGCAGAACAGGATCTCCCCCTTCTCTAGGATTCTATTGTTGTTATTATTATTATGCAGAAAATAGGTGGCCATCTGTCAGGAGGGATCGGATGGGTGTCTTCCTGCAGAACAGGATCTCTCCCATCTCTAGGATTCTGTTGTTGTTGTTCTGTTGTTGTTGTTATTATTATTATTACATAGAGACAGGGAGGACATCTGTCAGGAGGGATCGGGTGGTGCCTTCCTGCAGAACAGGATCTCCCCCTTCTCTAGGATTCTGTTGTTGTTGTTGTTCTGTAGTTGTTATTATTATTATTATTACTATTATTATTATTATGCAGAGACTGCGTGGCCATCTGTCGGGAGGGATCGGATGGGTGCCTTCCTGCAGAATAGGCTCTCCCCCATAGTATTCTGTTGTCATTGTTATTATTATTATATAGAGTCTGGGAGGCCATCTGTCAGGAGGGATTGGGTGGTGCCTTCCTGCAGAACAGGATCTCCCCCTTCTCTAGGATTCTATTGTTATTATGCAGAGACTGGGTGGCCATCTGTCGGGCGGGATCGGATGGGTGTCTTCCTGCAGAACAGGATCTCTCCCATCTCTAGGATTCTGTTGTTGTTGTTATTATCATTATTATTATTATATAGAGTCTGAGAGGCCATCTGTCAGGTGGGATCAGATGGGTATCTTCCCGCAGAACAGGTTCTCTCCTTTCACTAGGATTCTGTTGTTGTTGTTGTTGTTATCATTTTTATTATTATTATGAGAGACTGGGTGGCCATCTGTCGGGAGGGATCAGATGGTGCCTTCCTGCATAGCACGATCTCCCCCATCTCTAGGATTCTATTGTTGTTATTATTATTATGCAGAGTCTGGGAGGCCATCTGTTTGGAGGGATCAGATGGTGCCTTCCTGCAGAACAGGATCTCCCCCATCTCTAGAATTCTATTATTGTTATTATTATGCAGAGACTGGGTGGCCATCTGTCGGGAGGGATCGGATGGGTGTTTTCCTGCAGAACAAGATCTCCCCCATTTTTAGGATTCTATTGTTGTAATTATTAAGCAGAGACTGGGAGACCATCTATTGGGAGGGATTGGATGGGTGCCTTCCTGCAGAACAGGATCTCCCCCATCTCTAGGATTCTATTGCTTGGGGTTCCCTTCCAACTCGAGTATTCCATGATATTATTATTATTATTATTATTATTACTATTATTATTATTATGCCGGATGGCCACCTGTTGGGTTCGAATGGGGTGTTTGGGGTTGGACTGGATGGCCCTTGGGGGTCCCTTCCAGCTCTCAGATTTTCCCGGTTTCCAAGCATTTTGAAGAGAAATAACTGGCTTTGTGGAGTCACCGAATAAGGAGAATTACCAGGCGGGGCCCGGCCTGCCCTTGGCTGCTTCGGCCATTCGATCCAGGGAGGCCAAGAGTGCCGAGAGGTTCCCTTCCTCCTTCAGGATCTGGATCTCCGCCTGTTTGCCGGGGTACAAATGTTTGATATATATATATAAATATAATATTTCATATATATAATATATAATATCTATATAACATTATATAATAGTAAAATATTTTATATATGTTATATATAATATATATGTAATACGATATAATACCTAACATTATATAATATTAGATATACATTATATATACATAGTAGATACATATTCAATACATATAAAACTATTGTATATCTATATATATAAATTTGTAATATGATATAATACCTAACATTATATAATATTTTATATATATATATATATATATATATATATATATATATATATATATATATGATACTATTTAATTAATATAATTAATGAGTTCCTTAAAAACAAAAGAACCAATGAACGAAATCACACCAAATTTGGCAACAAATCGTCTCACAACACAAGGAGTGACCATCACTCAAAAAATTATGATTTTGTCATTTGGGAGTTGTAGTTGCTGGGATTTATAGTTCACCTACAATCAAAGAGCATTCTGAACTCACCAATGATGGAATTGAACCAAACTTGGCACACAGGAGTCCCCTGACCAACAGAAAACACTAGAAGGGTTTGGTGGGCATTGACCTTGAGTTTGGGAGTTGTAGTTCACCTACTTCTAGAGAGCATTGTGGACTCAAACAATGATGGATCTGGACCAAACTCTACACGAATACTCAATATCCCTAAATGTCAACACTGTTGGAGTTTGGGGAAAATAGAATCTTGACATTTGTGAGTTGTAGTTGCCAGGATTAATAGTTCACCTATAATCACAGAGCATTCGGAACCCCACCGATGATAGAATTGGGCCAAACCTCCCACACAGAACCCCCATGACCACCAGAGTGGGCCACAGCAACGCGTGGCAGGGGACGGCTAGTATATATATGATAATATTTATATCATAATATGTATAGATAAATAAAATATTAGACATTATTATATAATATATATTAGAAATATGAAACGCAGTGCCGCACATGCTGGCCTTTTTGCAGCTAAATTAAGACAAATGCAGGTGCGTTTCTTACCTTGACGAAGCTCTGAAAATGGGCCAGAAACTGGTCGTAAACGCACCTTGCGAGGCGACGCTGGGCCTTGTAGAGGCGCCGGAAGCACTTGGCAAACATGTGCTTCCTTTCAAGAACCACCAAAAGGAGAGGAAATGCATGAGAAACAAAGGAGAGGCAGGTAAGAAATATTATTATTATTATTATTATTATTATTATTTTTAAGGACGCCCAACCCCTGCCCAGAGATATAATAACCCTCCATTGATCCTAGGCATTTCCCTCTCCAAGAAAGGCGTGAAGTCAATCCACAGCACATGGCATTATTATTATTATTATTATTATTATTATTATACAACTCCCATCATCCCCATCCTACCACAATTGAGACTCCTTGGACTCATCTGGTATACCAAATCTTATATAATATATCTAATAATATATAATCTATCTAATACAATATATATTGAATATTTTATATACCTCTATTATACACTATCTAATATTATACTATATATATATATATGTAATATATATCTGCTATTATATAAATCTATTATATATAACTATCCTATATATCTACCTATAACATAAATACGTAACAGTATATAATCTAATACTATCTATATAATATATTTATTATATGTAATATATATCTGCTATTATATAAATCTATTATATATAACTACCCTGTATATCTACCTATATCATAAATTTGTAACAGTATATAATCTAATACTATCTATCTATATAATATATCTATATTGAATATTTTATATACCACTATTATATAGTATCTAATATTATACTATATATACATAAATCCTAATATTATATATTTATTATATGTAATATCTAATATGATACCTATATCATATCCAATAATATATAATCTAATACTATTTATATATCTATATTGAATATTTTATATACCTGTTACAAAATATGTAATATACTATATATATATATATATCCTAATATTATATATTTATTATATGTGATATGATATAAATCTTATATATAACACCCTATATATCTACCTATATCATATCTAATAATATATAAACTATCTAAAACTATATATCTATAATGAATATTTTATATACCTGTATTACAAAATATGTATTATTATCCTAATATAATATGTATTATTATCCTATTGTATTTAATACCTGATATATAAATTTCTTATATATGACTAACACCCTATCTATATATGCTATTTATATATCTAAATTGAATATTATATATATATATATATATTACAAAATATCTATCTAATATTATACTATATACATCTATATCTATATCTATCTATCTATCTATATATATATATATATATATATATATATATATATATAAATATTAGGATATATATAGTATAATTTTAGATATTATGTAATAGAGGTATATAAAATATTCTATATAGATATTCCTAATTTTTTATATTTATTTTATGTAATATCTGTTATAGATCTGATAAGATATAACTCTCTTGTATATATCTAACAGCCTATATATATATATCTACCTATATCATAAGTAATATTTAGTAATATCTAATCTCTCTAATACTCCATCAATGTTGTTTTGGATGGAGAATGCAAGTCTCGCGAGACTTCCTCCTCTCTCAGGGCCGGCCTTGGCCACGTCTCGCGAGACTTCCTCCCTCTTAGAGGCGGCTTTGGCCAAGTCTCGCGAGACTTCCTCCCTCTCAAGGCCGGCCTTGGCCAAGTCTCGCGAGACTTCCCCCTCACGGCGGCGCCACTCACAGGCCGGGCTCCAGGGTGCGGAGGGAGCACTCGGCGGCGAAGTCCAGGACCCTCTCCCGGCCGGGAAGCGTTTCCGAGGCGGAAGAAGCCCCGCCGAGACCGGCTCCCTCGTCTGCCTCCTTCTCTTCCGCCGCCATCTTGTCCCGCCGAAGCGCCGATTCAAACGCCGCGCCGTAGCCACGCCCCCTCGCTTCCCATTGGGCCAATCAGCGCCCCTGGGGGTTCTCCAGCCACGCCCCCGAGGAGGCAACCAATCGTGGCGCAGAAGGGCGTGGAAATAGGGCTCACACCCCGCCCAGAAGGGAAGCGGCCTTTTCATTGGACGCAGCGTCCCGCTTAGCGTCCAATCAGAAAATTGCAACTCGAGTTTGCCGCCAGCGGGCTCTAGTGGCCACCACAAGTATGGCACTTTCCCACTCTCAAAACCATAATAATAATACACTATATTAATATACTAATAGGATACTACCGATAATGTGTGAGAATATAGAATGATAATACTGTGCTATTGTTGTATATTTGCCGCTTTGAGTCTCTCTAGAGACAGATATATAAATATAATATTAATAAAATAAATAAATGATATAAATAAATATAATATTAATAATACAATATATTAATATATATAACAATATTGCAATATAATCATACTAATAGGATACTACCGATAATATGTGAGAATATAGAATGATAATACTGTGCTATTGTTGTATATTTGCCGCTTTGAGTCTCTCTAGGGACAGAGAAAGCAGAATATAAATATATATTATATTAATAATACAATATAATATATATAACAATATTGCAATATAATCATACTAATACTAGTGATAATGTGTGAGAATATATAATAATAATAATACTGTGTTACTGTATATTTGCCGCTTTGAGTCTCTCTAGGAACAGAGAAAGCAGAATATAAATAAATATTATATTAATAATACAATACATTAATATGTGTAATAATATTGCAATAGAATCATACTAATACTACTGATAATGTGTGAGAATATATAATGATAATACTGTTATATATTCTCACACATTATCAGTAGTATTAGTATGATTATATTGCAATATTATATATATATATATATATTAATGTATTGTATTATTAATATTATATTTATTTATTCTGCTTTATCTGTCCCTAGAAAGACTCATAGTGGAAAATATACAATCACACAGTATTATCATTATATATTCTCACACATTATCAGTAGTATTAGTATGATTATATTGCAATATTATAATATATATATTAATATATTGTATTATTAATAGTATATTTATATTCTGCTATATCTGTCCCTAGAAAGACTCAAAGGTGGCAAATATACAATAACACACATTATTATCAATAACACACATTATTATACAATAACACACAATATTATCACACATTATTGGTATCCCATTAGAATGATTATATTGCAATATTATATATTAATATATTGTATTATTAATATTATATTTATTTATATTCTGCTTTATCTGTCCTTAGAGAGACTCAAAGGAGCAAATATACAATCACACAGTATTATCATTATATATTCTCACACATTATCAGTAGTATTAGTATGATTATATTGCAATATTATAATATATATATTAATAAATTGTATTATTAATATTATATTTATATTCTGCTTTATTTGTCCCTAGAGGGACTCAAAGCAGCTCACCATCAAATATATAAATATACAAAAATAAAACATATTATATATTATCAGTACTATCCTATTTAATATATTTGTATGATTATATTGCAATATTATTATATATAGTAATGTATTATTAATATTATATTTATATTCTGCTTTATTTGTCCTTAGAGAGACTCAAAGCAGCAAATATACAATAACACAGTATCATCATTATATATTCTCACACATTATCAGTTGTATTAGTATGACTATATTGCAATATTATATATATATATATATATATATATTAATGTATTGTATTATTAATATATTTATTTATATTCTGCTTTATCTGTCCCTAGAGGGACTCAAAGCGGGAAATATACAACAATAACACAGTATTATCCTTCTATATTCTCACACATTATTGGTATCCCATTAATATGATTATAATGCAATATGATTATATATTAATATATTGTATTATTAGTATATTTATTTATATCCCGCTTTATCTGTCCCTACAGACTCAAAGCGAGTCGCCATCAAATACATTACATCAAATATATAAATATACAAAAACAAAACATATTATTATATATTATCAGTACTATCCTATTTAATATATTTGCATGATTATATATTATATTATATATTACAATATTATTATATTATTCGTACTATATTGTATTACATTACAATATTATTATTAAAATATATTATATTTTATATATGTATTATATTGTTAATATTATATGAATATATATTACTAGCATAGCACAATCTTAGGATGATATATTACGATATGGTACTATGCTGCAATATTATTAGTAATTTTACATGCAATATATATGTTATACAATTAGTATATAATTATTGTTAGTATTACATTGTATTACAATATTATTGTTAAGATATGAATATATAATATTATTAGCATAGCACAATATTAGTATTGTACTATGCCACTATACTAAATATTATTAGTAATATTACATGCAATATGTAATATACAATTATTATATTATTATTATCTTGTATTACAATATTATTAATACAAGAATATATCATATTATTAGCATAGCACAATATTAGTATGATATATTATTATATTGTACTATGCCACTAATATTAAAGTAATATATAATATATGCAATATATAATATACAATTATTCTTTTGTTATATATTATTATATGGTCCTGTATTATTGTAATATCACACTATATATACATCTTACAGTCCCAATTCACCCTTTGCAGACCCGTTTTTTTGCCCCTTGCAGAAAAGGGGGGAAAGGAGGAAGGACCCGGAAGAAGAAGAAGAAGGAGGAGAGAGTCAAATAAATAATAAAAACTTTAATGACACTTCAACGTCTCCCCCGCAGTGCAAAAATCACGGAGACCGGCTTTCGCCCTGGACAGAAATACATTCACCTGGAAAGACTGGGCACAGGTAGGCCTTGGCTTCCCTTTGGGGATGCCCGGGGGGGGGCAGGGGGGGGGAACGGGGGTTCAAAATGCCCAGCAAGGGCCCCGGAGGCCGGGAGGGAAGACTGGAATGAGGCCTCCGTGTACGCACTCACTTGCTCGCGGGCTTCAAGGAAGGAGGACAAATCTGGGATAAAGACAAATGCGGACCCCAAAACGTGAAACGCCACTTCATTGGATCAGGCCTGCAAACAGTGGAAGCCATTTTGGAAGAGTGGGTGGCATCCGCTCGTCAGACATATACGTCTCTCTATAGCAGCTCATCAGACAGATATATATATATATAAATGTGTCTCTCTGTGTGTGCGTGTATATATGTATATCAGTATATGATCTCTCTCAAATATATATATATATATATCCTTCAGACATACATGTGTGTATATGTGTGTGTGTGTGTTCAGTATATGATCATATATTCATCTATATATATGTATATGTATATATATATACATGTTCATCAGATATATATGTGTATGCGTACACGTGTATATAATATAAACCTGTATGTTCATATATATACACACACAAATATGCATTCACTATCCGTTCATCACACACACATATATATGTGTGTGTGTGTATACATATATATTCATCATGAATGTATGTGTATATATCTATGTTCATACACATACACACACATATACAGAAATATACATATCAGTTCATCAGACATGTGTGTATATTCATCATGAATGTATGTGTATATATCTCTGTTCATCATATATACACACACATATACAGAAATATACATAACTATCAGTTCATCAGACGTGTGTATATTCATCATGAATGTATGTGTATATATCTATGTTCATATACATATATATACACACATATATACATACATACACTGGCAGCTCATCAGACACACACACACACACAAATGTATGGGCATATATATATTAAATATAACCATACATATATTTGGGTGTGTGTATACGTTCCTCATACACACACAGACATATATATATATACACACACACACACAAATGTACATACCCTAAGAGTTCATCAGACATCTATAGATGTGTGTACACATCTGTGTGTATGTGTATATATATATATATACATATGTACACACATATATGTGTGTATATATGTATATATATACACATATACGAATCCAGAGATATATATGTATATATACACACACATATATGAATCTATATTATATATCTGTATGTTCATCACACACACACAAATATACACTATCAGCTCATCAATCATATGTGTGTGTGTACATATGTTGTATATAATCATATACATTTGTGAATATATATGAATACATCTGTATGTTCATCATATACACAGACACATATTATATATATATATATATACACACACACACACACACACACCCGATGAGTGGATCTCTCTTACGCTTTGCTCCATCACAGCAGCCTTTTTCGGGGGACACTCCACCCCAACCCAAACTACAATGTGAATGTGTTTTTGCCCCTCGGAAGCATCTCCAGAGGGAACTGCTCCACGGGGAATGAGCGACGCTTTCTGATGATTATGGCACACAAATAATTATAATATGTCTTCAGAGAAAGGAAAGAAACCCCCAAGTGCGACATAGAGCATCCTTCCAATGTCTCTCTCCCATCCCAGTCCGTCCCAGTTCAAACCAGTCCTCTTCTCCAGCTGAAAAGGAGTCAGGAAGAGGCCCTTCCCTGCTTGTGATGCCTCTCCCGTAATACAAAAGATGTGCTGTGTCTCCACTGAACACCTCCGAAAACTGTGACGGCGGCCATCTTGGCCCACGCCTAAAAGAACCCCCAAAAGTGAAGACGGGAAGGAGCGAGACGGGAAGAGCAGGAGCCACGGGGTTTCCCTTTCTCCCCATGTGCAAAGGCCACAGAACGGAAGGGGAGCGTCTCCCCTCGGAAAAGATACGACAATCACACAAAAGACGAAGAAAAAAAAAGATCAATTTCTACCCTTTTTGACACCTCAGAAAGAAAGGAAACATATTGGCGGGGGGGGGGTCCATATTGGGGGGTCCCCAATGGGGGGTCCATATTGGGGTCCGACAGCGGGGTCCATATTTTGTATCCAAAGAGGAGGAAAGAGGTCTCTCGACGCATGTCATCTCCCCAAAAATGTCAAAGTCGTGGAACCGTTCCCATTTTGCGGCTCGTTTTGTAAATCCACGGCTTTTCCGGCGAGTTCGAAGACGCGACGTATTGCGAGGGAAACGCAAGAGAACCATTTGCGGAAGAAAAGGCTTCCTTTTGCGGGAATCCCGTCTCCATTTGAGAAGAAAAAAGACCGGAATCGCAAGAGCGGAGGTTATTTTGTTCTGTCTGCAAAAGGACGCCGTTAGAGTCTCCTCCTCCTTCTCTGCCTTTTGTGACCATCTTTCTCTCTCGCGTCTCTGATGGTCGTCCGCCCGCTCCCCAGTGCCGCCCAGTGCTTCCCAGTGTGTGCTACCAGTGCCGGGAGTCGACCAGCTCGGGCCGCAGGCTGAGCTTCTTGAGGGTCTCGTACCCGACCACGATGACGATGGTGGAAGGCGTGGCCGAGATGATGCGGGCCGAGAGGCCCTTGGTCAGCCCCCAGGGGCCCTCCTCGGCCATCAGCTGGCGGAAGGTCAGGCGGATGGAGCTCTTGCCCTCCACCTGCAACGCAGAAGGACCACGTCAAGGCACGGATTTGCACCGTTGTACTGCTGGGCTTGGCCTCATGCAAGCTGCCCTGAGTCCCCTTGGGGAGATGGTGGCGGGGTACAAATAAATTATTTATTTATTTATTTATTTATTTATTTATTTATTTATTTATTTATTTCGGTTGCTTCTACCCCACCCTGGGGGGGGGACGGACACTCAGGGCGGCTTACAAAAGCGAGGCACAATTCAATGCCCGCATCACAGACAGCAAGGACAATAACAATAGTTGACACAATAATTTTAGCAATAACAGTTAACAGAAGACAATAATTATTATCGGCAAAAACAACCATTTTGTAGCACTGCAAGCTGCCCTGAGTCCCCTTGGGAAGATGGTAGCGGGGTATAAATAAATAATAATAATAATAATTATTATTATTATTATCATTATGTAGCACTGCAAGGCGCCCTGAGTCCCCTTGGGGAGATGGTGGTGGGGTATAAATTATATTATTATTATTATTAATATTATTATTATTATTATTATTAATATTATTATTGTTGTTATTATTATGTAGTACTGCAAGCTGCCCCGAGTCCCCTTGGGGAGATGGTAGTGGGGTATAAATAAATAATAAAATAAATAATAATAATAATAATAATAATAATAATAATAATAACACCCTCCCTGTTGACATCAGACAGGCGCCCTCCCTTATGGCTTTTCGTAAGAGCCTAAAGACCTGGCTATTCGAGAAGGCATTTAATTGAGACCCACACGAATTTGGTTATGATATTTGGAACGGACTATGGATTATGAGACTGGCTATGACTCTATGTTGTGATGGCGCGGATCTATTAGTGTAATTTAGATTAATGTGTAATTCGATTGTTGTTATATTGTATGTTTTGTAGATGGTTTTTACATGTTGTACACCGCCGCGAGTCGCCCCAGGGCTGAGAGCGGCGGTCAACAAATGAAGTAAATAAATAAATAAAATAAATGTAGTACTCCAAAGGTCATCTAGTTCATCCCCCCCCCCCCCAATTGGGAGGCAGGGAAGCCCAAAGGACATCTAATAAATAATTATTATTATTATTAATATTATCATTATGTAGCACTGCAAGCCACCCTGAGTCCCCTTGGGGAGATGGTGGCGGGGTATAAATTATATTATTATTATTGTTGTTGTTATTGTTATTATGTAGCACTGCAAGCTGCCCCGAGTCCCCTTGGGGAGATGGTAGTGGGGTATAAATAAATAAATTATTATTATTATTATTATTATTATGTAGTACTCCAAAGGTCATCTAGTCCACCCCACCCCCATTGGGAGGCAGGGAAGCCCAAAGAACATCTAATAAATTATTATTATTATTATTATTATTATTATTATTATTATTATTATTATTGAGCACTCCAAAGGTCATCTAGTTCAAGGACTCGGTGTCATGAGTGGACGGTGAAGCAACAGCTCCCCCGGTGGCCGGAATTCGAGCATACCCTCATTAAAAAGCTGCCTCTGTGCCTGTCGACATATGTTGTGTGTCTATGGCACTGAATGTTTGCCGTGCCTGTGTGCATTGGGATCCACCCTGAGGGGTGAGAAGGGCGGAATAGAAATAATGTCCATAAATAAATAAATAAATAAAATGTGGGCCCGATGAGCACTGTCTCTTTCTCAGGAGGACATCTAGATGGCATCGTAAATTAGTTAAAATTACATGTAATATAAAATATCTAATATAAAATGTAATATAAAATATATAATTATAATATTGTAGTATTAGTAGTAGTATTATATTGTATTACATTATAATATTGTAAATATTATAATGTTGCCCAGGGGACACCGACCGGGTGTCCCCTGGGCAACGTCCTTGCAGACGGACAATTCTCTCACACCAGAAGCGACTTGCAGTTCCTCAAGTCGCTCCTGACATGATAAAAAAAAAATCTAGATGGCCATCTGGCAGGAGGGGTCGAATGGTGCTGGACGGGGCGGGCTTTTGTGGGGGTCCCTTCCCCTCGTTTTGGGCTGACACCAGAGCCACGCAAAGCCTCCGTCCCTCCCTCCCTTCTTGGCCGGCCTACCTGGACTCTGGCCCGGATGACGTCCATGGGGTTGGTGAGGGTGGAGGCGGTGGCGGCGGCCAGCGGGCCCGAGATGGCCTGCAGCAGCAGGTGCGGACAGTCCTTCGGGGTCAGGTTGGCCAGCTGCTCTGCACACCAGAGGGAGGGGGGGGAGAGAGAGAGAGAGAGAGAGAGAGAGATTGGACGGATGCCGAGATGGGGGGGGGCACCTCAGACACGTGGTGGGACCTTTTCGAAAACGCCATTCATAACCACTGGGAGATCCGAACCTTTTGGAAGAGCAGGACCTATTTCAGAGAATACCGAAAGGTCACAGGTTTGAATCTGGGGAGCGGGCGAGCTCCCGCTGTCAGCCCCAGCTTCTGTCAACCCAGCAATTCAAAAACATGCGAATGTGAGTAGATCAATAGGTACTGACGGGAAGGTAAGGGCGCTCCATGCAGTCCAACATGACCTTGGGGGTGTCTAAGGACAACAGCGGCTCTTCGGCTTAGAAATGGAGACGAGCACCGGGGTCTCGGAGTTGGACACAACTTTTCATAATGTCAGGGGAAAACCTTGACCTTTATCTTTCAGAGAAGAGCCAAAAACACACTTGAGTCGAATCTTCTCAAGGGCTACACAATCAGATGGAATTATGCAAGGCTTCAGTTGTTAGACTGATTAACCTGTCGTCTCTGATCTGTTACAGGAATACGCCACTGCACAAAACAGCAATGCTGAAGAAGTATTATTCAGTGCCCAAAACTTATATATCTAATATATCTAAATAATCCACCCCGAGTCCCTCTGGGGAGATAAAGAGCAGAATATAAATAAAGTTGTTATTATTATTGTTATTATTATTATTATATTATTAAATTATAAATAATATTATATATAATATTATATTATTATTATATTATTGTATTATTATAATAATATTTATTTATTTATTTTTATCTATTTGTTGTGTCAGGGCAACCAGTCAATATAATATAATATAATTAATTATAATATAATAATAATAAATATAATATAATAATAATATAATATAATACATAATTATATTATATTATATTATTGTATTATTATTATTATATTATAATTTATTATATTATATTATATTGACTGGTTGCCCTGACACGACAAATAAATAATAATAATAATACAATAATATAATATAATAATGATAATAATATATAATACATAATATAATAATATAATAATATAATATAATAATATAACATTATATTATTATATTATTGTATTAATATTATAGTATAATATTATTATATTATTATATTATCATTATTATATTGACCCTAGTTTTGTGTGTCTTGTTGAAGGTTTTCATGGCCGGAATCACTGGGTTACTGTGAGTTTTTCGGGCTGCCTGGCCATGTTCCAGAAGCATTCTCTCCTGACATTTCACCCACATCTATGGCAGGCATCCTCAGAGTTGTGAGTCCTCTGGCCCTTTCCTTTTCCATTTAGGCCATTGCTCCAGAAGAGAGAGAGAGAGATAAATGGATGGATGGATAGACCCCTAGACCCCGTCCTCACCGGCGTAGAAGTGGTAGAAGGGCCACCAGACGGCGCTGTTGGGGATGTAGGTGAGGAGGGAGGCCACGTATCCGCGGTAGAAGCCCCGCACGCCGTCGGCCCGGAAGATCTGGGCCACAATGTCTCGGGTCTGGCCCCAGAAGAGGCGGGGGGGCGGAGGGCGGGGCCGGCCGGGGGGCGGGGCCTGCTCGGTGGTGGTGACCCGGAAGCGGCCCATGCTCTGCCCCTGGCGCTGCTGCATCATGAGGTGCTGGGAGACCACGTCGATGGGGACGGTGATGCTCTGGGCCACCAGGGAGGCCGACCCGCCGGCCAGGAGGGACTTGAGGGTGTTGCTGCTGGAGTAGCGGGAGACGTAGCCCCGCGTCAGCTCGTAGGTGGTCACGTAGCACTGGCCCGACACCAGCGTCAGCGTGTTCACCAGGAAGCCCCGGTACAGCCCCGCCGGGCCCTCCGCGCGCAGGATCTTCCCAAAGGCGTCAAAGGTGCCCTGGTACAGGCTCTTGCCCTTCTGCACCTGAAGCAGGGAGGAAGGCGCGTAATAAATAATAATAATAATAGTAATCGTAATCGTAATAATAATAATAATAATAATAAAATAGATAGGTCCAAGATGCCCTGGTACAGGCTCTTGCCCTTCTGCACCTGAAGCGGGGAGGAAGGCGCGTAATAAATAATAATAATAATAGTAATCATAATAATAATAATAATAATAATAAAATAGATAGGTCCAAGATGCCCTGGTACAGGCTCTTGCCCTTCTGCACCTGAAGCGGGGAGGAAGGCGCGTAATAAATAATAATAATAATAGTAATCATAATAATAATAATAATAATAATAAAATAGATAGGTCCAAGATGCCCTGGTACAGGCTCTTGCCCTTCTGCACCTGAAGGGGGGAGGAAGGCACGTAATAAATAATAACAACAATAATAAACATAACAATAGAAATCGTAATAATAATAATAATAATAATAGAAGATAGGTCCAAGATGCCCTGGTACAGGCTCTTGCCCTTCTGCACCTGAAGCAGGGAGGAAGGCGCGTAATAAATAATAATAATAATAGTAATCATAATAATAATAATAATAATAATAAAATAGATAGGTCCAAGATGCCCTGGTACAGGCTCTTGCCCTTCTGCACCTGAAGGGGGGAGGAAGGCACGTAATAAATAATAACAACAATAATAAACATAACAATAGAAATCGTAATAATAATAATAATAATAATAGAAGATAGGTCCAAGATGCCCTGGTACAGGCTCTTGCCCTTCTGCACCTAAAAGGGGGAGGAAGGCACATAATAAATGATAACAATAATAATAATAGTAATCATAATAATAAGATAGATAGATAGATAGATAGGTCCAAGATGCCCTGGTAAAGGCTCTTGCCCTTCTGCACCTGAAGGGGGGAGGAAAGCGCGTAATAAATGATAACAATAATAATAACAATAATAGTAATCGTAATAATAATAATAATAATAATAATAATAATAAGATAGATAGATAGGTCCAAGATGCCCTGGTAAAGGCTCTTGCCCTTCTGCACCTAAAAGGAGGAGGAAGGCACATAATAAATAATAACAACAATAATAAACATAACAATAGTAATCGTAATAATAATAATAATAATAATAATAATAAGATAGATAGATAGATAGATAGATCCAAGGTGCCCTGGTACAGGCTCTTGCCCTTCTGGACCTGAAGGGGGAGGAAGGTGCATAATAAATAACAGCAATAATAACAAACATAACAATAGTAATTGTAATAATAATAATAATAATAATAATAAGATAGATAGATCCAAGGTGCCCTGGTACAGGCTCTTGCCCTTCTGGACCTGAAGGGGGAGGAAGGCGCATAATAAATAACAGCAATAATAACAAACATAACAATAGTAATTGTAATAATAATAATAATAATAATAATAATAAGATAGATAGATCCAAGGTGCCCTGGTACAGGCTCTTGCCCTTCTGCACCTGAAGGGGGGAGGAAGGCGCGTAATAAATGATAACAACAATAATAAACATAACAATAGTAATCGTAATAATAATAATAATAATAATAACAGATAGATAGATAGATAGATAGATCCAAGGTGCCCTGGTACAGGCTCTTGCCTTTCTGCACCTAAAAGAGGAAGGAAGGCGCATAATAAATAACAACAATAATAATAAACATAACAATAGTAATAATAATAATAATAATAATAATAATAATAATAATAAGATAGATAGATAGATAGATAGATAGATAGATCCAAGGTGCCCTGGTACAGGCTCTTGCCCTCCTGCACCTAAATCGTAACAATAACAATAGTAGTAATCGTAATAATAATAACAATAAGATAGATAGATTTATCCAAAGGCATTAAAGTTGCCTGATGCGCTCTCTCCCTCTGCCAAAGGGCGCAAGGCCATGGCCAAGGTTGGAGAAGCCTTTGGGCGACCCACCTGGAGGCGTGTGCGGATGAGGGTGAAGGGGTAGACGCTGACCCGGATCATCATGGTCATGCAGACGCCCAGTAGGTAGAACTTGCGCTTGTCCAGGTGCTCCCACTCAATGATCTGGATGTTGCGCTTGTCGTTTTCCATGGCCACAACGCCCGCGGTGGTGGTGGCGCCCTGAGCCGGGAACGAGAGGGGGAGGAGCCATCAGGAAGGAGGGTGGGGCCTCCACCATGGCCAGCCCCTTCCTCACACACGCTCTGAGGATGGGTGAGGTGACCTCCAGGCTTCTCTACCTCCTGGTGATGCCTCACTTCCTATTTGTCTTGTCTTCCCCTACCTACCTAACCATCTCTATCACCTACCTACTTGTTGTCTCTATCATATCTACCATCTTCACCTACCTACCTATTGTCTCTATCATCTCCATCTATTTATCTACCTAACTTCTCTACCTACCTACCTATTATCTCTTATTTATCTATCATCTCAAACTATCAATATATTGTCTATATCGTATCTATCCACCTATCATCTCTACCTATTGCCTCTATCATATCTCTATCAACTCCATTTATCTACTGTCGCCATCATATCTATCTACCTGTTGTCTCTATATACTTAACATCTCTATCTGTCTGTCTGTCTGTCTGTCTCTATCTATCCATCACATCTATCTATCTATCTCTATCCATTCATTGATCTATCTATCCCTCTATCTATCCATCCGTCATCTCTATCTATCATATCTATCCATCCATCCATCCATCCATCCATCCATCACATCTATCTCTATCCATTCAGTGATCTATCTATCTATCTATCTATCTCCATCCATCCATCCATCATCTCTATCTATCTATCTATCTATCTATCTATCTATCTATCTATCTATCTATCATCCATCCATCCATCCATCCATCCATCCATCCATCTCTATCAATTGATCTATCTATCATCCATCCATCCATCACATCTATCTCTATCCATTCATTGATCTCTCTATCTATCTATATCTATCTCCATCCATCCATCCGTCACCTCTATCTCTATCAATTCATTGATCTATATCTATCTATCTATCTATCTATCTATCTCTTTCTCTCTCTCCATCCATCCATCCATCTCATGCCTCCCATTACCTATCTATCTATCCATCTATCCATCCATCCATCCATCCATCCATCCTCCATCTATCTATCCATCCATCCATCCATCCAATCTATCATCGATCCATCTATCATCTATTCATCTATCTATCCATCCATTGATCTATCTCCATTCATTCACCCAACACATCTATCTATCTATCTATCTATCTATCTATCTATCTATCTATCTATCTATCTATCATCTCTATCTATTGATCTATCCATCCATCCTATCTATCTCTATGCATTCATTGATCTCGCTATCTATCTATCTATCTATCTATCTATCTATCTATCTATCTATCTCTATCCATCCATCCATCCATCCTTCCTTCCTATCTATCTATCTATCTATCTATCTATCTATCTATCTATCTCTCTCTATCAATTCATTGATCTATCTCTATCAATATATGTGTTTTTATGATGCAGGCATCAAATTGTGCCTTGCTTTTGTAAGCCGCCCTGAGTCCCCTTCGGGGTGAGAAGGGCGGGGTAGAAGAACCCCAAATAAATAAATAAATAAATAAATAAATAAATAAATATAAAAAGTCTTGAAAGCTTTTTTTTAACTATCTATCTATCTATCTATCTATCTATCTATCTATCTACCTATCCATCCATCCATCCATCCATCCCATCTATCATCTCTCTCTCTCTCTATCCATCCATTGATCTATCTCCATCCATATAACACATCTATCATCTATCTGTATCTATCTCTCTATCTTCTCTATCTGCCTACCTATTGTCCCTAGCATATCTATCTATGGGGTCTATCCAATGCCATTTTTGACTCCGCACCCTAAATAACCCCAGGAATAGGCCCAAAAACAAAGACACGAAGGCCTGACTAATAACAGTGAGGCCGCAGAACGTATCTTAGTTCTTGGGGACCACTGCTGGTCCACGGACCACAGGTTGGGAACCACTGATCTAACGTCTCTCCATCTTGCCATTCTGAGAAAGCAGACTATAATAATAGTAGTAGTCGTAGTAGTAGTAGTAGTAATACCTGTGCCTAGTCATGTAGCATCGTGGGAGGAGGCGAGGGCCACCAAGCCACCCCATTCATGTCGGGCTCCAGCTCCCCATGACGCTCCCTCCTCCTCCTCCTCCTCCTCCTCCTCCTCCTCCTTTCCTGCAACCAACAAAACAGGACCCAGTCACTTCCACATGTCACAACAGGCATTGTGTGCCATTAATGCAGGGCAACAGGTCCATTAACGCAATCCCCAAACTCCCATCAGCTACAAATAATAATAATAACAACAACAATAATAATAAATACAGAAAATGAACAGAATTTAAAAGTCTACGACAGATCCCAAGTGTAGACTTTGCAAGGAAGCAGGCGAAACAATGGATCCCATCCTCAGCTGCTGCAAGAAGATTGCGGACAGACTCCAAGCAGAGGCACAACACCCTCACTCAGATGATTAATCATAATATAATATTAGTAATGCAATAATATAATATACAGGACACTCCCATGGATATCATATTATTTATTTATTTATTTATTTATTTATTTATTTTGGTACACTTGTATACTGCTAATTTCTCAGCCTGGATCGGCGACTCAATTGCGGTTTACAGCAAATTAAAAACAATCTCCAATTTAAAACATATACACATACAACAACAAATTATTGGGCCACCAATAATAATCCCATATGTCTCAAGTTGAAATCACAGTCCAGAGATCGTTGTCCATATTTTCTGTCCATAGTCACCAAGAATCGATCGATTGCCACAGATTAGCCGAATGCTAGTTTGAACAGCCATGTTTTTAGTCTCTTCCTAAACACCATCAGTGAAGAGGCTGATCGTACCTCTATAGGGAGGGTGTTCCAAAGCCGGGGGGCCACCACAGAGAAGGCCCTGTCTCTCGTTCCCGCCAGCCGCACTTCTGAAGCTGGAGGGATAGAGAGAAGGGACTCTAGAAGATCTTAGGGTCCTGGTGGGCTGATAGGCCGAGATACGTTCGGATAGGTAGGTTGGGCCAGAACCTGTTTAGGGCTTTAAAGGCCAACGCCAGCACTTTGAATTGAGCCCGGTAGCAAATCGGCAGCCAGTGGAGCTGGTGCAGCAGAGGAGTTGTATGCTCCCTGCGCTCCGCTCCTGTTAGTACCATGGCTGCTGCCCGTTGGACTAGTTGGAGCTTCCGGGCTGTCTTCAAGGGCAACCCCACGTAGAGAGCATTGCAGTAATCAAGGCGGGATGTAACCAGAGCGTGGACTACTGTGGCTAGATCGGACCTCCCAAGGTACGGTCGCAGTTGGCGCACAAGTTTTAATTGTGCGAATGCTCCCCTGGTCACCGCCGAAACCTGGGGTTCCAGGCTCAGCGATGAGTCCAGGATCACACCCAAACTGCGAACCTGTGTCTTCAGGGGGAGTGCGACCCCGTCTAACACAGGCTGTAACCCTATACCCTGTTCGGCCTTACGACTAACCAGGAGTACCTCTGTCTTGTCTGGATTCAATTTCAATTTGTTCGCCCCCATCCAGACCGTCACAGCGGCCAAGCACCGGTTCAGGACCTCGACAGCATCCTTAGTAGCAGGTGGAAAGGAGTGACAGAGTTGGACATCATCTGCGTACAGATGACATCGCACTCCGAAACTCCGGATGATCTCGCCCAGCGGCTTCATGTAGATGTTAAACAACATGGGAGACAGTATTGAACCCTGAGGAACCCCACAAGACAAAGGTTGTGGGGTTGAACAGGAGTCTCCCAATAACACCATCTGGGACCGACCCTCGAGGAATGAGCGGAGCCACTGCAAAACAGTACCTCCAAGACCCATCCCCGCAAGGCGTCCCAGAAGGATACCGTGGTCGACGGTATCGAAGGCCGCTGAGAGGTCCAGCAGCACCAACAGGGACACACTCCCCCTGTCGAGCTCCCGGCGCAGATCATCGATTAAGGCGACCAAGGCTGTCTCGGTACCATGCCCCGGCCTAAAGCCAGACTGTGCTGGATCCAGATAATCCGTGTCTTCCAAGAATACCTGGAGTTGAGAAGCCACCACACGTTCCAGGACATTGCCCAAAAAGGGGAGATTGGAAACAGGTCGAAAGTTGTAGAATTGAGTGGGGTCCAATGATGGTTTCTTCAACAGCGGTTTTATTACAGCTTGCTTTAATAATTATACAGGACACTCCCATTGATACACTATTACTGATATATCATAATATTGTATTATAATATTTGTAATATAATAATATATTATACAGGACACTCCCATGGATATCATAGTATAATATTACATTAGAATATTATAACAATAATACTATAATATAATATAATATAATATAACAGGACACTCCCATTGATACAAGGCAAGGCACCCGTGGACGCGGTCTGGCCTTTCACCGCACCATCCCCTGTTGGTTCTCAGCGTGCCGGCCTTCAGCACAACCACCACTGCTGCTAAGAGGCCCAGCGCGCTGCTGCTTTTCGGCCTTTACAGCCTGGTCCTTGCTGGGCGAACTGCTGCACCCGCTGCGAGTGTCGCCTTCGCTGGACCCTGCCGCTTGGACCGTTACCACCTGGACCCTCATTGAGCAGGCTGCTGCCGAGGCCCATCCCCTCCGTGTTGGGGGGTGAGTTGGTGGTTCCCTGTTACGGCCGAGGCCGTTGCCGCTAACACCGTGGGCGCTATCTCGGCCAAGCCTTCCTGTCGACATTAGAACCTAGAGCGGGATCGGCGTCTATCACCTCTCGCCGCTTGCCCAGGGCCTAACCAACTTTTCCAACACTCGAG